AGGATGGTGATAAGTGGGTTCGGGACTCGGAAAGCACGAAGAGCAACCCAGAGGCCAGGCCTAATGATGGTATCATAGGCCTTGAGCAGTTCAATAAAGCACATGCATGGACTAAGATGCACACATGGACCAACAGACACGCAAAGAAATGGAGTTACACTGACTAACATGGAGGCATGCACACACGGCGACTATCACACACGCACATGGACTGAGACACACACACATATGGACTGACACACACAAACACATCGACTTACAGACACACACACATTTGGACTCACACACACATAGACATGCACTTGAGATACGCACACATGAAGTTACACACACATATCGACGTACACACATACAGCGACACAAACACACATACATAGAGTGACACACGCATACACATGTGGACTGTCACACAGACATCCACTTGAGATATACACACATGGAGTTGCACACACATATATGGACGTACACAAATACAGCAACTCACACACACACCGACTCGCACACAGCAATACGTGGACTAAAACACACATTGACGTAAACACACATATGTACTTACACACACACATATGGACTAAGACACACACACATGAACTTACACATACATAGACTGACACACACATAGCCCTACACACACATACACATATGGACTGTGACGCACAGATATCTACTTTAGATACACAGACATGGATTAACACACATATGGAGTCACATACAGACGCATTGACTTACACACACACACATCGAGTGACACACACGTGTATAGACTTACACACACATGTGGACTAACACACACACATATGGACTGACAAACACATCGACGTACAAGCACACAAATCGACTGACACACACACATGGATTAACACACACACATAAACACTTTGACGTTGTCCGTTCGAAAAAGACACCCACATGGAGTTAAAGACACGCATGGCTCTACACGCACACACATATGGACTGAAAGACACACACATGGACTCACACACACACATCGACGGGCACAGCAATCCCCGATGATGGCACAGCTATCAGTATCGCAGTACTACGTATGAGTAAATAGCGTGACGTGAGCGATGGAAAGAATAGAAATGCTTTGAAGAAATAAGCAGAAATCACAGACTGGCAGTAGACCGTGGCAGCGTTATAAAAGCGCATCAAAAAAGGGGAAATTGAGCAACCCAAAAATCCAAAAAGAGTTTTGTGTACACAAACATAATTATTGTAACATATCAAGTTGTTTCATAATTGTAAACAAAGAACTTGAGTTGTTATCTTCACAAAAACCTAATTATTGTAACATCTGTGAACTTGTTTCATAATGTTGAACAATGAAGCTGAGTTTTTATCTGCACACAAACATTATTATTGTAATGTTTGTCAACTAATGTGTTTAACAATAGTAAACAATGGACTTGAGTTGTTAGCGTAAGAAGCAAGGAACTTTGTACTTACCATAGCCATGTTGAGGCCTTGTGCCATGCGTAGCCCCTCTCCTGGCCTACATTGGCGAGGCTGCGGAGTTGGCACGTTGCCAGGCTAGGGGCTGGGCCACTACCCCTCCTCCCAAGCATCCCCCGCCCGTGCAAGAATAATGCTATCTAAGCAGTAAAATATTATTATCTACGGAGTCTGTAGTATAAACTGGACGCATCGTGTTGGGGGTGGGGGGCGAAGAGGACATGACACTGTGAATAAATATCGGCAGCGTGATGTGTGCATGTGTTGGGTGTAAAACGCGTAAAAGAAAATGTCCCCCGAGAGCTCGAGCGAAGGCGCATGACTTGGTAGGGTCCGCTACCCCCCCCCCCCCCCACGCAATTGGCGTCACTTGGCACGGTCGACGGCGCGCAATAAATAAATAATGAATAATAGAAACCGCACAAATGTGATAAATAAAGTACTTTAAAGTTTACGGATGCGAAAACGGAATAGCCTATTCCCACGACGGGGCTTAGGGCGTGCCGCCTGGCAAATTATTTTGGTCTTAAACCCCACCGTCCGAGAGCCAAATCCCCCGCAAGCGCGAACGCGCGGAGACTTTTATATATAAGATGGTGCCTTATACAGTACCTGGATATTTGGCCAACTCAATTAGTTTCTATAAAACATAAACTAAAACAATTTTTATTTTAGCAGGTAAGGCCCACTGAGCTATGTGGTGGGCAAGTTGTCTTTGTTGGAACGACATTTGCTTCCATCCATTAACTCCGTGCTCCTTAACGGATGTAATTTGATTTGGCACAAGCTGAGCCGAATTGTTTTTGGCCCCAATGCACAGACTACGCATTGCACGACCACCGTTTCCAAAGCAGTGAGGGTGGTCTGTGGTAAAAAATATTCAAATATTTCACCTGGGAAATGTCCCTCGAGATGGAACCTCATTAGCAGGAGTGGGTGTCCTAGATGTCGATTGACGCACGGAAAAAAAAACAAGAATGAGCATAATGGAGATTTAAAAAATGCCTTCAAAATGTAAACAAACAACCTGATACCAAAAATACCCCCATACAGAAATACAGGTCTTGCCGGTTCTGACACTTGTACAAACAATGCACAACGCATCCCACCTGCTGTCACCAGAGCGCAAGACTCATCCGGTTCAGTCAGTAAGCCACCAAAGCTTTGCGCTTTCAAATCATCTAAATTGATAAATTAATACTGGTAGGAACCTCCTGGTTACACCAGCCCACAGGGGATTATTGTGTTCGTCGTGCAGGGAGGGGCTGGGTGGGGAGGGGAGGGTGGGGAGGGGCTGGGTGGGGAGGGTGGGGCTGGGTGGGGAGGGGCTGGATGGGGAGCGTGGGGAAGGGCTGGGTGGGGAGGTTGGGGAGGGGCTGGGTGGGGAGGGTGGGGCTGGGTGGGGGGTGGGAGGGGTGGGGCTGGGTGGGGAGGGGCTGGTCACCCCGTGGTGCCTTTATAAAATTCAACGTTTAACCTACTCACGCCGGCTTGTGCCCGCCCTCACAGTCGGGCATATTTGCGGAATACACCACGCCGCCGTTGACCCTGGCCATTGACTGAGCAACCCAACATTCCTACCAGCTCCCTCGGCAGGAATGTGTTTTATTTAGAACTGCTTCTTGTTGTGTTAAGTTTGTTGTCTTCCCCCCACACCTCCGATTAGCACGGTTGGCTACGTACGATGTCAAAGAAGTTCAACACATACATATGTACACGTCTCATATTTACATTAATTGTGGCAGCTCTTGAAATGTTGAGTTTTTTTAACCGAATTCGAAAAAAATGGCTCTTCTTGTTATATTGGTTGCCCGGTCTCTCGTCGAGGGTAGAGAGTTGGGGAGGGCCAAGTCACCAACGGCAAAACTTGGCCACATCTGCCGGCCGGGTCGTAGCTGAATGGGCTCTTGTTAGGGAAGTAAACTTCAGATTGTTCTGATTCTGAAGTGTGTGTGAGAGTAGTTGAGTTAGAGGGTGGATGAGTGAGTGGGTGTATGAGTGGATGAGTGGGTGAGTGTGTGGGCAAGTGAGTGTGTGTGAGTGGGTGTGTAATTGTGGTGGTTAGCGCACTGCGCTATGAACCTGGAGACCCAAATTCGATTCCAGCTCATGGCCAACACCAGTGACGATTATCTGAACTGGTCCTGGGCCTCCTCTAGGTCAACTCAGCTTTAAATGAGTACCTGGTGTGGTACGTAAAAACATCGCCACTAGAGAGACAAAGGTGGCCGGGCGTGGTGCTGGCCATCTACCCCATCGTGTGCCGTGATGGCCTTCATAGGTGCACGCTAGCAGCACTTACCCCAACAGCCTGTTAAGGTTATACAGGCAATCTTTGTCTTTGTGTACTTGTGGAATGCTTTGATGATGTCTGCCGGCCGAAAGCCCCTTGAAAAATAACTTTTTAGCTCAATGGGCTCGAATAAGGGAAGTTAACTTCTGGTTCTTCTGATAAACCTTGAGGAGCAGACATCAGGCTTTGTTTAGCTGCCAAGATGCCTGTGCATGGCACCACACTGTGCCTCAATACGCTAGCGTGGTGTGATGAGCCAAGACCGGACAACTTGGGGAGGGGGATGTAGAAAGACGGATGGAGGATGCGTGTACAATAGGCGTGCGTGTTAATGCGAAACAACGCAGGTGAAATAGGTGGTGGGTGCGGCTGTGAATGGTCGGAATGGGAATCTCCAATCTCGGACAAGGTGAGAGTGAGAGACGGTGACATCGCCAGCAGTGGGTGATGGAGGCAGGTAGAGTTAGTGATAGATTCACACTGCTAGCAAAAGGCTCAAGATTCCAGGATGGGTCACGGGATGCTACAGACACAATGCCATTCAAGCAACTCGTCACGTTGGGGTAATTACACTGAGATGAAATTACAGGACATTATGATATATGTAAAACGACACAAACTTTTTTTTTATTTTACCAGGTAAGGCTCACTGTGCTATGTGGCTCTTAGTCAGGAGCGACCTGTCTATTACAAATGAGAGCGCAATGAAGTGGCTTGTGTGGAAATTGATTGCAGCCAAATATTCTAAATGCGTGATGTTGATTCTAAATGTGGAGGGTAAACCGGGGGACCCAGATACAAATTCCCAGGACCAAGGGAGGAAAGAGAAAGACGCAAAGTTTAAATATAAAGCAGCCGTAAGGCGAGCGAGATAACATCTCATAGCCACGGTGGCAATCAATCCATTGCCCTGTCTTACCAGAGACACCAACTTGTGCGCTGAGCTCTGGAATTATTAGTTTATCTCTCGATTTATTAACAACAACACTCATTTTTTAAAATGTATATATTTGTAAAAATATTGGATTCCTTTGATACATTTTGTTCATGTCAAGATGTGTACTGTAACCATGTTAACCATGAAGTTGCTGTTTGTACACCAAGTGCATGGGTTCACATTCCGGGCAGTGTCTCGTGATGTCAGTGACGACAATGAAAATATTTTAAGTATTTTACTTCCTTCTTCACCGTCGCTATAAGAGAGAGGTACTGGTCCAGCGTCTCTTTGAGCCACACAGCGAGCGATCCCAGCAAAGCCATGGGTCATGGCAAGCGCGACTCCCAGTGAGAGTGTGGATAGTGAGCTACGCTGCTCCATCTGCCTGGGCACGTTTGTCTGCCCCTCCACGCTGAGTTGTGGACACTCGTTCTGCCTCCGGTGCCTGGAGGCCACCTGGGAGACGGCGAGCAGCTTCAGCTGCCTGCAGTGCCGAGCGACCTTCCCTGTGCGACCCCAGCTGAAGAAGAACGTGGCCCTCGACAACCTGGCGGAGCAGCTCAGAGTTAGAGACGGGATGGCCACGGCCGTCTTGTGTGACAACTGCGGTGACGACCAGACTCCTGCAGTGAAGACCTGCCTGAGATGTGAGATGTCCTTCTGTGCGACACACTTGAGGCCTCACTTGGAGAACCCCAGGTTGAGTGACCACGTCCTGGTGGCTCCCATTGCGAACCTGGAGGAGCGACGGTGCCGGGAGCACAGTGAGGAGCTGAAATTCTACTGCACAGTAGACAGCAGCCTGGTCTGCTCAACTTGCACAATCGCAGGTGAACACACAGGACACAAGGTCCTGACGCTGAAGAAAGAGCACGAGACACGGAAGGTGAGGCCCTCAGAGGGAGACACCGCAACACGATCTGACCAATTCTGTCACTCAGCTACACATCTAATGATAAAAACGTTATTGTTTATTCATGCTCTCTCTTATGAATCTCTGCCTCTGATTGCATAGCTCATATATTGGTTGGCGTTTTAGCAAACTGCCTTATAATGTATTGCATGCCAGGCTCTCACTAAACCTAAATGCCGTATAAAGGAATTAATTGGATATATATTAGAGACCGATATCAGAGCCACCTGATAGCGAATTCTATTAGAGGTAACTTCAAAACTATACATCTGTGGGCACATAGGCCCTTGGGCCCGACTCGGTACAGACACCAAGCCAGCACGGCTCCCACTGGCTGCTGCTACAACGAGGCATCAGCTTTCCCACTCCAAGTTCCCCTGTCTCAGTCGCCATAGAGAGGCGGCGTGGAGATGAGGGCCTTCGCTGTGGAGGGATCGGTGTAGAGGGAAGGGCGGTGTGAGGGGTGGTCTCAGGGGGCTGGAGTCTCCCCCTGGTGACGTCTCGCCTCTCACTACAGACGCGCGTAGGGGAGGAGACGCGAGCGGTGGAGGAGAAGAGGAAGGAGGCGGAGGAGTCCGTGAAGCGGATGGAGGTCGCTCGCAAGGAGGCGCAGGTACCGTGTCCGGGTCTGGCTCTTTGACCCCCGTGACCTCCATCCAGCGCGGAAGTCGTGAAGGTCAAACTTCGTGCAGCTTCATAACTTTAACGTCTCTTACTGTAACTAAATTATTCACTTTCAAACTCAACATTAACTACGAGGGGGTTGCACGTTTGCCGCATTCGATAGCTGCATCAGCGAGTCTGCCGCGAGGTCGGGTTACTCAGCATTGCGTCTTCCACTCCTGTGGAAAAAAAAAAGATGTCCAGTGCCACGGATTGTCGGGGTGGAGCTGTGGTGCAGCTGTTGCGCTGCACCACACTGGCATGGATGCAGAGGCACGAACACCGCACAGCTGCACCTCACATCGTCCCTAATCGCATCCCCGGAGTCTGTTTTAACAACTATTTTTTTATTTTACCAGGTAAGGCCCCACTGAGCTATGTAGATTTTTTTCAGAAGCTACCCTGGCAGTCACAAATGATAGCAGCTCAACAAAGTGGCTAATATCATCATCACATGATAATAGCAGATCCATAGAGATACATAGAGACCCATAGAGATACATAGGGACAAAGAGAGGTACAAAGAGACCCGAAATATAACCTATAGACCCATAGAGATACATAGGGACAAATAGTGATACATAGGGACACAGATAAACATAGAGGCCCATACAATAAACATTTGTTTTTATTTTACCAGGTAAAGCCCCACTGAGCTATGTAGCTCTTTTGCAAAAGGAACCTGAATATCACAAATGATAGCTCAATGAAATGGCTTATCAGGTGGAAATTGAGAGCAGCCAAATACTCTAAATACTGTACTCTAAACGCTTGCTTGATCCCGGAGATGCTCTTTTGTGCTCTGCGGGTTGTTCACAGCAAATAACGAATGCCTTGGACTTATGGGAAAACTTGACCTGGATAATGAAAATTCTAAATGTGGAGGGAAAAGCCGGAGGACTCGGAGAAAAATCCACTCAGGCATTAGGATCGTGGTCGAACCCACTACCCCCTGTATACCAGGTGAGGTAGTTAACATCTTGCTACATATCGTCAGATCCACGAGGGGGACCCCACCGGACTCCGAGTGTCCGAGTTTCTACATCCATGACCCCAGCGCCTTCTAGGGGAGAAAAAATAAAAGAGCCGCACCCCTCTTGCCCCCGTGGCATAGATCGACTCAGTCCCACGGGCGCCTCGTCACTGGGGCATGATTCACCACGAGGGAATACTATTTTTAATTTTATTATTTTACCAGGTAAGGTCTCACTGAGCTGTGTAGCTCTTTATTGGATGCGACCTGGCCACCACAAATGATAGCTCAACCAAGTGGCTGATATCATCATTATGACGTGGAAATGTATAGCATCAGCAAACTATACAGAGAGACCCATATCGATACATAGACACCCATATACATACCAGACCCATAGAGATACCTAGACACCCAGAGACACACAAATATACATAGAGATAAAAAGAGACCCTGAGAGAGGCCTAGATACCCAATAGAGACCCATAGACTAAACTAATTTTTATTTGACTAGAAACGGCTCTACTGAGCTATGTAGTTATTTTTTCAGAAGAGACCTGGCTATTACAAATGATGGCTGAACAAAGTGGCTGATTGTAATGTGGAAATTTTTAGCAGCCAAATACTCTAAGCGCACAACGTTGATCCTAAATGTGGAGGCAAAACCCGGAGGACCTGGAGAAAAATCATTCCAACTACAGAGAGAACAAACTCCAAATATACAGGTGTCAGGGTCAGGATCGAACCCCGGCCTGCTGTATACCAAGCGAGGCAGTCAACATCTCCTAGCCACCATGGCGCCGACACACACACACACACGGAGTGGCTTATGGCTCATGGAGCCAACCGTGATCCCCGCGTCTCCGCAGGAATCATTGGCCGGGATTAGGGGTCGCATCACGGTCAAGTTCGCCCGTCTAAGGAAGGCTCTGGACGAGGACGAGAAGGAGGCTCTACGTTGCTTGGCTGTGAAGGAGCGCGAGCTGCTGTCCCGGATCGACGAGGACATCACTCGTCACAAGCGGGAGATCGGCGAGCTCCAGGCGGCGGCCGCTCGCCTGCGTGCTCTGCAACACGAGAGGGACTCGCTCGCCTTCCTGCAGGTGGGGAGCGCCTCTGTGGAGACGCCATTTGGGTGTCCAGAACAACAGAGCGGGCAGTGGCAGGGGGAGCTCGTGGTCCAAGGATAGAGACATCACTCATGATCTCTCTCTTCCACAGGGGCACCTGGAGGAGATGCACAGGTACAGATCCTTAACGTCTCACAGTTGAACACTTAATACGGAGCTGTGTGTGTTAAACAAACGAGCTATGTGTGTTAGACATAGTCTGTGTATTTGTGAGTTAAACACATGGGCTGTGTGTAAGACATGGGCTGCGTATGAGACACGGGCTTCGTGAGACAATGACTGTGTGTGAGACACTGGATGTATGTGAGACAATGGCTGTGTGTGACACTGGCTGTCTGTGAGAGACTGGCTGTGTGTGAGACACTGGCTGTGTGTGAGATACTGGCCGTGTGGGAAATGGGCTGTGTGTAAGACACGGTCTGTATGTGAGACACTGGATGTGTGTGAAATACGGGCTGTGTGTGAGACACGGACTGTGTGTGAGACACGGACTGTGTGTGAGACACGGGCTGTGTGTGAGACACAGGCTTCGTGAGACACTGGCTGTGTGTGAGATACTGGCCGTGTGAGAAATGGGCTGTGTGTGAGACACGGTCTATGTGTGAGACAATGGCTGAGTGTGACACTGGCTGCGTATGAGACACGGGCTGTGTATGAGACACGGGCTGTGTGTGAGACACGGACTGTGTGTGAGACACGGACTGTGTGTGAGACACGGGCTGTGTGTGAGACACAGGCTTCGTGAGACACTGGCTGTGTGTGAGATACTGGCCGTGTGAGAAATGGGCTGTGTGTGAGACACGGTTTATGTGTGAGACAATGGCTGAGTGTGACACTGGCTGTGTATGAGACACGGGCTGTGTATGAGACACGGGCTGTGTGTGAGACACTGGTTGTGTGTGAGATACTGGCTGTGTGTGAGACATGGGCTGAGTGTGAGACGCGGGTAGTGTGTGAGACACTGACTTTGTGTGTGATATGAGCTGTGTGTGAGACACTGGCTGTGTTTGAGACACTGGCTGTGTGAGAGACAGGCTTTGTGTGAGACACTGGCTGTGTGTGAGACACTGGCTGTGTGTGAGACACGGGCTGTGTTTGAGACGGGCTGTGTGTAAGACACGGGCTGTGTGTGAGACACGGGCTGTGTGTGAGACACTGGCTATGTGTGAGACACTGGCTGTGTGTGAGACACTTGGTGTGTCTCACAACAAAACAACTCAATACCTCCTCGTGGTGCCGGACGGGCAACGCTGTCGTGGGTAGTGCCATGGGGGGAGGGCCAATTCCGATTGGCCTTTCCCCTCATGGCGTTTGTAACCACCACAACGGCCAAATGGGGGCTTTGGATGGGTGCGAGGGGCTGGTAACCCCTCCACCTTCAATTAATTACCACTAAACCACGAATGAATGTTTTCATTAATAAGCTTGCACGGGAGGCCCCGGAGGGACAGGCGTCTATTAAACTAAAACCTTATCCTCGGGGCTCCTCCAGCAACAACAAAAACAACTATGTGTGGCCACGTGGAATGTTCGAACGCTCACTGCAGATGAGAGTCTGTTACTCCTCTGTCGGGAGCTGGACCGGTACCGCCTGGATCTCTGTGGCATTCAGGAGGTCCGGTGGACCGGCTCTGGCTCCTACCACCATGAGGGGTGGACAGTCCTCTTCTCGGGGCAGGAGACTGCCAAACAACAGGCAGTTGCTCTTCTTCTGAACATGGCAGTGAGGTTTGGGAAGCTGTAAGCCCCAGGCTACTTTGGGCTCCCCTTCCCATCAACCAGAGGCGAGGAGTGATGCAGGCAAGGCCGATGAGTCACATGCCTTCAATGACCTCCTGTCACAGGTGCTGGCTAAAGTGGCCAATCGGGATAGAGTCATCTTTTTGGGTGACTTCAATGCACGAGTTGATCATGATGCTAGCACCTGGTCTGGAGTGATTGGAAGACATGGGCCAAGATCAGCTCGATAACAACGGTAGGAGGCTGCTAGATTATTCTGCAGCCCATGGGCTTGTAATTACCAACACGCTGTTCCTGCATCGGCACATCCACACAACATCATGGATGCATGTCGGGTCCAAGCAAGAATAACTTCTGGACTACATAGTGACGAAACAGCGGATGTGGGCCCATGTTCTTGACACTAGAAACTACCGTGGAGCTGATCTGCCACTGACCACCGACTTTTCATCTGTAAGATGCTCCTGCCATTTTTCCAATCCGATGGTGGGTTTACACCCAGGACCTTATTCAAACCCATAGTGGCATGGTGTTCGATAGCTGATGAAAGTTGCAAGGGAGAATTTCATCATCGCTTGTGGCTGGGGATGGCATCGTTCCCCACTCCTCCTGATGTCGAGGGGAAATGGGCAAGGTTAAGGACTGTGGCTCATAAAGCTGCAATGGCTGCTTTGGGTACACGGCCCAAACCTCCCCAGAGACCCTGGCTGACAGAGGAGGTGTTCAGGCTGGCTGAGAAAAAGCGACAGGACCACTCTCATCGTCTACAGCATCCCAAGTCCGAGAACGAGGAGGCTTACCCCAGCCTTCGCTCGGAAGTTCGGAGAGCCGTGAGGCGCTGCAGGGATGGTTGGTGGTCGCGAGTTGCTGAGGAGATGGAGTCTGCCTCAATGGCCCGCGATCAAAAATCGCTCTTTAATTCCATCAAAAAAGTAACCTGCAGCACCACACCTATTACCATCAATAGGGGAAAGAACGGTGATCCATTCTCCGACCCCCGGGAACAGGTTTGCAGATTTGCTGAGCATTTCTGTGAGGTCCTGAGGGAGTGGAAATCGCTCAGCCTGGAAAACATCATGGGACAAAGTGGGGATGACCCTGCTGAAGCTGCGGTACCTCAAATATGGGAAGAAGTCACCCCCTGTGAGTGGCTGGCTGAGGTGCCATCTGTTGAGGAAGTATTGAAGGCGATACAGAGCCTGAGACAAGGGAAGGCACCAGGCAGAGATGATCTCCCAAACGAAATGCTGAGGGAGTGTGGCGTTTGTGCACAGACTGCCCTACATGACATCATAACAACAGTCTGGACCACTGGACGGGTTCCACCTGATTGGAAGGATGCCCTGGTGGTCCCCCTCTTCAAAAAGGTGGACCGCAGAGACTGTAACAACTACAATGGCATCTCACTCCTCAGTGTGCTGGGAAAGGTCCTGGCAAAGGATTATTCAACAACGCTTTGCCAGCACTCTGAGGAGAGGCTTGAATGTGGTTTCAGGAAAGGGCGGTCCTGCACAGATGCCATATTTTCTGTCCGTCTGCTACAGCAGAGGTGTAGGGAATTCCAACAAGACCTACATCTCTGCTTTATTGACTTTGTCAAGGCCTTTGATACCATCAGTAGGCCTGGGCTCTGGGCTGTTCTTCGTGCTTTCGGAGTCCCTGATCCGCTGCTCACGATCATTAAGGACCTTCATGATGGTGAGCGGGCACGGGTGAAACTACGTGGCCGGTAGTTGGAGCCATTCCCTGTACACCTTGGAGTGCAACAGGGATGTCCTATGGCTCCCACATTATTTAACATCTATTTTGACCACGTAGTTCATGAAGCCTTCAATCGCTGTACAGGTGGAATTTCGATCTGGTACAGATACAATGGGAGGCTGATTGATGTCCGGGTGTGGTCAAGGGATGGCTCCCTATTGCTCAACAATGTTACGTAAGCTGATGATCTGGTAATTGCCGCTCACTCAGAGGAGTTGGAGGCGCTGCTGCTGAACCTGGAGCGTGCCACTTAATGAGGGGGCCTTACCATCAGCCCCACACAAACTAAGCACCTGCCTTGGTATTTTGTACCATTGAACACTCCACCCCCACAGCTCCCAATTGGTGATGGGGCAGTTGTGGAAAGTGGATAGTTTCCCATACCTGGGTAGTATTCTCATGACCGGCTCTGGTTTAACAGCACAGGTATTACTCCCAAGCAGTCGAGTGGCATTATATTTTATCGTTTGTGTAATGCTGTGTGGAAGCTACCTGGTCTGTTGCACTGCACGAAGCTTCAGGTCTTCTCGGTCATGGTCATTCCCTCCCTTCTCTACTCTAGCAAAACATGGACCCCCCTAATGGAACATCTTCGCCGGTTAGAAACATTTAGGCTGGCCTGCCTTCGATCCATCCTGGATTTAACTAGACTGGATTGTGTGAGCTCACAATTCATTGAAAAATCTGGACAAAGTCCCTTCGGTGAGCTCCTCCGACAGCAAGACTACATTGGCTGGGTCATGTAGCCCGCATGCCCAGTCACCGCATGCCTAAACAGCTTTTGTTCGGCCGGATAGAGGGGGCTAAACGGGCGTGGCACGGGTAGATAAGAGATGGAGTGATGTGGTACAGGAGGATGTGGAGCTGAGTGGACTTGCCAATGACTGGTGCCAGCGGAGTTAAGATCGGCCTCTGTGGAGGAGGCTCATGGAGGACGCTAATGGGCAGTTGGAGGCAATTGCCTCCAACGACAATGACGAACGGAGCACCAGGTGGCTAAAGCACAGCAAGTTAGCACAGTAGGGGGTACAGGTGGTGCATCAGCCAGTTATCTCAGTCAGTCGACCCATGGCACCTGGGTCTGCCCCGTGACCTCCTGCCAGTGGGCGTTCGACACTTCACGTGGCCTCAACGTGCACATAGCCTGGCACAAGCGTCGTGGTGTCGTAATTGCCACTTAGTGGTGAATGACTGCTGTTGTTGTTGTGTGTGAGACACTGGCTGTGTGTGAGATACAGGATTTGTATGAGACACGGACTGTGTGTGAGACACGGGCTGTGTGTGCTATGGATGCTGAGTGTTCCAATGTTGTGGTTTTAACGAGGCTGTGTATGATGCTGTTGGTGGTTGTCCCAGGAGAGAGATCCCAAAGGAATCTGCACCCCCACCTCCCACTTCACTGGACACCACCACGATCTGCTCCCTTGAAAAGGTCATGCGCAGACTCCTCCCTCTCGTCTGTGAGTTCCTCAGACTTGCACCCGCATGTCCCGCTGTCTTGCACTGCACTTCTGTGCTCCATGCCTTCATTACCTTTTCATTTTATTTTACTAGGTAGGTAACTCACTGAACCATGTTGCTCTTTTTTCAGAAGCGACCTGATTATCACAAATGACAGCTCTATGAAGTGGCTCATCACGCGGATATTTATAGCAGCCAAATCCTCTGAATGCCAATTTATTCTCAATGTGGAGAAAAAACGCGAACATCCAGGAGAAAATCCATGCCACCACGGGGAGAGAGATACAAACTCTGAAAGAGAGCGACAAGGCCCAGTGGGCTCTACCTGGTGAAATAAAATTAGTTTAACAGTTTCAATATTTTTCTAATCCCGACTGCTGTGTACCGGGGCAAGTGCTGTTAGCGAGCAGCAGCACCTGTGAAGGCCGTCACGGCATACGAGGGGGTGAGGGGCCAGCACAACGCCCGAATATTATATGTGTACACTAATACTAACGAATATTAGAAAAGGTACACAAATACTAAGAGATATTTGTAAGTCTACACTAATTCAAACGAATAATAGTATTGTACACTAATACTAACGAATTTTAGTATGGGTACACTAATATTAACGAATACTAGTATGTTTACACTAATATTAACGAAAACCAGTACTGTATGCATGTGCCATATACTTGCAAATCACAGCATTACATATCAACATATCACACACTGCGGTATGACCACAACAACACAACAGACAACACAACACCAGTGTGTGTGTGTGTACACGCCACGTTTGTGTGTGTGTGTACACGCGACGTGTGTGTGTGTGTACACGCCACATGTACTGTTCGTGCCACTACTGCGCACGCATCGCCGTGACCACTGTGCGAGCATCGTCACTGTTCTCACCACAGATGGACGCTCACCAACTCTGGACACAAACTCAGCTGGCGACCGCCTCCAGATTTCCTCGGATCTCAGGACGGTGACGTGGAGCGGTGTCCCCCAGGGTCGCCCCCATCACCCACACCGCTTTGAGTGGTGGCCACAAGCCCTGTGCTCTGATAGCTTCTCGTCGGGTCAGCACTACTGGGAGGTGGACGTGGGGCGTGCGCGGTGGGGGTATCGGGTTGGAGTCGCATACGGGACGATCCCACGGAGAGGGCGTGGTAATGAGTGCGGCCTGGGAGGGAATGACGTCTCCTGGTGTCTACAAAAACGTAGCGACAGCTTCTCAGTGTGGCATGGCGGGGTAGAGACCTCACTGTCGGTGCCGGAGCCTCCGCGAAGGGTCGGGGTTCATCTGGACTGGGACGCGGGGCTGCTGTTGTTTTGCAGCGCCGACTCCATGGTGCCATTGCACTCGTTTCACCAAACCTTCACTCAGTGCCTACATCCTGGCCTGGCAGTGTGGTGGGGGTGGGGTGATGTTGGTGAGTCAGTGAGGATTGTGGATCTGAGTGGTGCGTCCTGAGAGAGGTGAACATGAACAGCGCAGAGGGCAGACGCCACGACGCACGCCGCTAACCACCCTCGTCACCGTCACGCACAGGGCCACGCCTTTCACTGGCTGGTGGCTGTCGGTGGCTAGGGGCTGTGTGGCTCTCCATCACAACGGGGGGGCTGAGCGTAAACAATCCGCACAGCCTTCATTAGGGGGGGTGATAAAATCGGTACCGCTCTGTGTGTGTGAAGCCAACGTGGATGTATTCTCCCTGCCAGAGGAGTGTGACTGTAGTGTAGAAGTGCAGTGATTCGCAATGGTGAACTGGGATGTGTTTATACACTGGTGGTGTCGTGAATTGTGGGAGAGATAAAACAACAATATTAATAATAATAAAAAGTATAAATGTACGCGTACGACAGTGGCATTGTAACGCTTGTTTCGTCGATTCTACAATAAAAATACAGAACACAAACAACAACAATGTAGTTGTGTACAGCGTCATTCGTGCTCACTGCATCCCGCAACGCTGTTCATTAATTAAACACGAGGACCAAATCCTCTACACAGCCACTGCCAAACAAATTCAATCTACAAATTAATAAACAAAGAAAGAGATGGTGCCAAACACAAAAGGCGCCAACAATGTCTGAGCTGTTCAAGTTATCTACTGCTGCTGCGTCATGGACGTGGTGGCAGTCACCACGCACGCTCCCCCAACGAGGTGACATCACCACGCACGCTCCCCCAACGAGGTGACATCACCACGCACGCTCCCGCAACGAGGTGACATCACCACACACGCTCCTACAACGTGGTGACGTCACCACGTCATCAAACCCCCCCACGGGCTCCCCCCAAGCCCGCCCCTCACTACTGCACCATCTGTGAACACAAAGAGCTTCACAGCTCATCGGATTCCTCCTGCACCACAAACACAGATTCTGACGTTCTGGATTCCCGCCACTAGGGGAGTCCCTCGCTGTGACGTCACCACGTCACCGCGTTGGCGAAAACAAAAAGAGGCCCTGAGGGGCACCCTGCAGCCTCGCTGCTGTGACCCAGCACTGTGGGGGGGGGGGGGGATCACCACTGACGCTGCTGGGAACTCCCCACGAGGGCGACACGTGGCCTGGAGCTCGCCAGGAGAAGGCGGTGGAGCAGCAACAACAACAACAGCAACCACCACTACCACAACAACCGTGACCAAAACAACCAGCACCTCCACAACAACCACTACAACAACCACCACAACAACTTCTAACACCACCACAACCAGCACAACCACCACCAGAACCAATGCCACAACCACCACTACCTCTACAACCACCTCAAACACGACCATAACAACAATCACAACACAACCACTACCACAACCACCACCACAAGCACCAACACAAGCACCACCACAACAAAAATCACAACCACAACAATCACCACATTCACCACAATAACCTCCACAACCACCACCAGTAAAACAACAATCACCACCACAACAACCACCACAACCACCACAACAACCACCACAACCAGAACAACAACCACCACAACCGCCACCACAACCACCATCACCACAACCACCACAAGAACAACCACCACAACAACCACAACAACCACCACAACCACCACCACAACAACCACAGCAACCACCACAACAACCACCACAACCAGCACTACAGTAACAACCACAACAACCACCACAACAACCACCACCACAATCACCACAACAACCACCACAACAACCACCACCACAACCACCACCACAACCACCACCACAACCACAACAACCACCACAAGAACTACCACAACAACCACAACAACCACAACAACCACCACAACCACCACAACCACAACAGCAACCCCCACAACAAGCACCACTACCACAACAACCACCACAACCACCACCAAAACCACCACAACAACCACCACCAAAACCACCACCAGCACAACCACCACCAGCACAACGACCACAACAATCACCACCACCACAACAACCACCACAACAACCAGAACAACAACCACCACAACCACCACCACAACCACCACAATCACCAAAACCACCATAACACCACAACAACCACCATAACCACGACCACAATCACCACAACCACCACAACCACCACAACCACAACAGCAACCACCACAACAACCACCACTACCACAGCAACCACCACAACCACCAACAAAACCACCACCACAACCACAACAATCACGACCACCACAACAACCACCACAACCACCACAACCATCACAACAACCACGACAACCAGAACAACAATCACCACAACTGCCACCAAAACCACCATCACCACAACCACCACAACCACAACAACCACCACTACCACAACAACCACCACAACCACCACCAAAACCACCACAACTACCACCACAACCACCACCAGCACAACCACCACCACAACAATCACTACCACCACAACAATCACCACAACAACCAGAACAACAACCACCACAACCGCCACCACCACAACAATAACCACAACCACCACCACAACAACCACCACAACAACCACCACAACCACCACAACAACCAGAACAACAACCACCACAACCACCACCACAACCACCACAATCACAATCACCAAAACCACTATAACAAGCACAACAACCACCACTACCACAGCAACCACCACAACCACCAACAAAACCACCACCACAACCACAACAATCACGACCACCACAACCACCACCACAACCACCACAACCATCACAACAACCACGACAACCAGAACAACAATCACCACAACTGCCACCAAAACCACCATCACCACAACCACCACAACCACAACAACCACCACTACCACAACAACCACCACAACCACCACCAAAACCACCACAACTACCACCACAACCACCACCAGCACAACCACCACCACAACCACCACAACAATCACTACCACCACAACAATCACCACAACAACCAGAACAACAACCACCACAACCGCCACCACCACAACAATCACCACAACCACCACCACAACAACCACCACAACAACCACCTCAACCACCACAACAACCAGAACAACAACCACCACAACCACCACCACAACCACCACAATCACAATCACCAAAACCACTATAACAACCACAACAACCACCATAACCACCACCACAATCACCACAACCACCACAACCACAACAGCAACCACCACAAGAACCACCACTACCACAACAACCACCACAACCACCAACAAAACCACCACCACAACCACAGCAATCACTACCACCACAACAACCACCACAACCACCACAACCATCACAACAACCACGACAACCAGAACAACAATCACCACAACTGCCACCAAAACCACCATCACCACAACCACCACAACCACAACAGCAACCACCACAACAACCACCACTACCACAACTACCACCACAACCACCACCAGCACAACCACCACCACAAACACCACAACAATCACCACAACAACCAGAACAACAACCACCACAACCGCCACCACCACAACAATAACCACAACCACCACCACAACAACCAACACAACAACCACCATCACCACCAAACCACCACGACCACAACCACCACAACCACCACAATTACAACCACCACAACCACCATAACCGCAACAACCACCATAACCACCACCACAAGCACCACAACCACCATAACCACCACCATAACCACCACCACAACCACCACCACCACGCGTGAACTTCACACAGTGACAGGGACTGGGAAGTAACAATAACAGTCGTCCCCAGGATTTGTGTCAACTCGCCGCACACAAATTCCGGCAATAAGCAACAATTATTAATTAATTTAAACACAAATACATATTTATATTTCTAGATTTTCACTGTATATTACATTTTGTACTTACATGGTTATATTTACGTATACATATTATATTTGTAAATATCCATTTCGAAATATATTTACATATAATAAACATTAATACCAAACGTATATAATGATATGAATATATAATAAATGATAAATATATTCACATGAAATATAAATATATATATAAATATATATGAACATATATATGAGCGGGAATTGCCCGGGTTCGTAGCGCAGCGCGCCACTAAGGGGCCGTCCATAAATGACGTCATGCACCTGGGGGGGGGGGGGTTAGACATTTGTGATGATGTGTGACGAGAGGGGGGGGGGGTAGAAAAATGTGACGTCACATCAAAATGCGCAACTTTAAATAAATATAGACAACACGTTCTACTTAATTAAATAGACTTTTTAATAAATGTTTTCTCCTACAACATCAAAGTTTAGTGCCACATTAAATATGCACTACAATGACAATAGTTTAAAGCGATTTGAAGCATGTTTTTTTTGGGGGGGGCAGAGCTTTGTGACGTCATATTTGAGGGGGGGTCTGACTTTTTCTGACGCCGTGTGACGAGGGGGGGGGGGGTCAAAAATCGTCCAAAATCGCGTGACGTCTTTTATGGACGGCCCGCTAACCGCTGCGCCACCGCTCCCCACGCCGGGTGTCAGCACCGCCCGAGCGGCAGAGACGCGGACACCGTGGGGCTCCCATCACGAGGAGACCCCACGTGGAGACGTCTCAACGTGAACTCGCGCCGCTGACGTCGCTCCTTCCCACCGTTGCCGTAGTCCAGGATGCCTCTAACACGACGCGTTGAGCGAGCGAGCGGCCTGGCTGAGCGGCAGCGATTGACCGCACGGAGGGATACGCTGAGCGAGCAGCTGTCACCTACCACGTGACGATCACGAGGCCTGGCCAAGCCTTCGCCAATTAGAGATCAGCACATGAAGTGGGGTGAGACGAGGGGGGGGACAGTGTGGGTTGGGGTGCGAAGGGCGCCCTGGGTTTGGGGCGGGGTTGTGGGAGGTGTAGGGGGAGGGGTAGGGGGCGGGGTGCAGGTAGGGTTAGGGGGAGGGGTGGGGGTTGGCGTAGAGAGAAGTGTAGGGGTAGGGGGAGGGGTAGGGGTAGTGGGAGGGGTCGGGGGATAGGTAGGGGGTGCGGGGTGCTAGGAAAGGGGGTGTGAGGTGGGGGGGAGTTGTCTGGGTGATGGGGGGCTTGGAGGTTGCCACGCGAGAGGAGGGACCCCTAGGGGGTGGGGGAGATGGAGATGTTGGGGGTCACGTGGGGTTCATTTGTTTTAATGACGGCACTGGTCGAGAGTTGCGGACCGAGTCACGAATCGCGACCGATTCCCAGATATCGTTTGGGTCCCTGCAGTGCCTGGAGCGGTGTCGCTGTGCGCCATGCGAGGGCGCTGCCACTCCACCGCAGGGATTAGAGGGCGCGCTGAACAATGAAAGTGCACGGTAGAATCTTGATTTGAAGCTTTCGTGACTGCAGAAATCCATACTCTTTGGTTCTTTCAGTAAAATCACGTAGTTAAAAAAATTAAAAATAATAAATCACGACGTTTCGACTGCAACGCAAGT